AGCCCAGAGCCAGTCTTCCTCAGCAAAAAGAGGAGGATTGGCAAATGTTAGCTCAGGGTTGATCTTCCTCCCAAAAAATAAATAAATAAATAAAAGGTCAGTAACAAAAAGATAACTAGAAAAACTCCATATATTTGACATTTTAAAAACAGAATTTCTTTTTCTTTTTTTTTTTTTTTTCCTGAGATACAGGTCTTTTTCTTTTGCTTTTTTTCCCAGTAACTTTATTGAGATCATAATGGTTTATAACATTGTGTAGTTTTGGGTGTACGTTATTGTTTATCAATTTCTGAGTAGACTTCATCGTGGTCACCCCAAGTAGTCTAATTATTGTTCATCACTGTACATATGTGTCCCTTTACCCCTTTCACCCACCCCCCAACCCCTTCCCCTCTGGTAACCACTAATCTGTTCTCTTTATCCATGTATTTGTTATATTCCCCATATGAGTGAAATCATGCAGTATTTGTCTTTGTCTGGACATCATACCCTCAAGGTCCATCCATGTTGTTGCAAATGGGATGATTTTGTCTTTTCTTATTGGCTGAGTAGTATTCCATTGTGTATATATATACCACATCTTCTTGATGCAGTCATTAGTCGAGGGACACGTGGGTTGCTTCCACTTCTTGGCTGTAGTGAATAATGCTGCAATGAACATAGGGGTGCATAAATCTCTTTGGATCATGGATTTGAAGTTCTTTGGATAAATGCCCAGTAGTGGGATAGCTGGATCGAATGGTATTTCTATTTTTAATTTTTTGAGAAATCTCCATACTGTTTTCCATAGTGGCTGCACCACTTTGCATTCCCACCAGCAGTGTATGAGAGTTCCCTTTTCTCCACACCCTCCCCAACATTTGTTGTTTTCTGTCTTGGTAATTATAGCCATTCTAACTGGTGGAAGGTGATATCTCATTATTGTTTTGATTTGCATTTCCCTAATAATTAGTGATGTTGAACATCTTTTCATGTGTCTGTTGGCCTAAAAACAAAATTCTTGAGTCAAGGAAGAAATTATAATGAAAATCAGAAATATTTAGAACCAAATAATAATGTAAATATTTTCATATCAGAATTTGTGGGACAATGGAAGCAACAGTAAGAGGGAAATTTATAGCTTTAAATGTTTACGTTAGTCAAGAAGAAAGACGCAAGATTCATGAGGTAACAGTAGCGGTTAGAATAGCATTACACCCAAATAAAGGAGAAGGAACGAAATAATGGGTAAGAACAGGAATTAATGAATCAGAACACAAATAATAATATCCACAAAGACAGAAGTTGTTGAATAAAAATAGTAATAAAAGAGACAAATCTCTGGCAAGATTAATTTTAAAAAATCGAAAGGAAAGACAAACAGTATTAGGAACGAAACTGAGACGTAACTGTGGATGCTGCCAGGATTCGATGCAGAGGAAGAGGCCGTCTGATCTACTCTGTGCTTACAAACCTGAAAACTTGGATAAAATGGATAAATTAAAAAATAAAACTTAGCAAAGCTGACTGAAGAACAATAGAAAACTTCTAAATAGGGATCATCCTATAATCATTAAAGAAATTGAGTAATTACTTAAAAATCCCCCTCACCCTCCAAATTCACCCAGAAGGCTTTACTGGAAAGTTTTTTCACCTTTCGAGAAACAATTCCACTTTTTTTTTTTTGCTGAGGAAGATTTGCCCTGAGCTAACATCTGCGCCTGTCTTCCTCTATTTTGTATGTGGGTCACCGCCATGGGATGGCCGCCAACGAGTGGTATAGGTCCATGCCTAGGAACCAAACCCAGGCCGCCGAAGCAGAGTGCGCCGAACTTAACCACTAGGCCACAGGGCCAGCCCCAAGAAACATTTCCACTTTTATACAAACTCCTTCAGAGGATAGGAGAATAGGGGGTATCCCTACTCATTTTATGAGGGTCGCATAATCTTAACACCAGAACCAGACAAAGGATGTACAGTGTGAGAACAAACAAGTCAGGCCAATCCCACTTAGGAATATAGATGCAAAAACCCTAAGCAAAGAAACAATTGTAAAACCAAAATGATAAAAACATAAAAATGATATAGTACACCATGAAACACCTTGTTTGCAAGGACCCAGTCATTTTGTATTAATGTAACATATTAAGAGACCCAAAGAGAAAAATCATGTGATCATCTTAAGAGAGGCAGAGACAGGTTGATAAAATTTATCAGCTATTCTTTGCAAAAGAATTAGCAGACTTGGAATAATGGGGAACTTCCATAACCTGATAAAAGACTTCTAAATGGAAAAAAGCCTATTATGGTAAATGGTACCATTAAGTGGTAAAATGTTGAAAGTTGATCCTGTAAGAGCAAGATTCTCCACACTCCTGCTTTATGTTGGGACTGGTGTCGCAGCCAGCACAGTGAGAAGGGAAAATGGAAGAAAAAGTATAAGGACTAGAAAGAACTAAGCCGTTATCATTTGCAAGTGATGTGATCATGTATGTAGACTATCCAAAAATTTCTACAGGTGAGTTTATTAGAATTGAGTTATTAGAATTATTATAAGAATAAATAATTAGGATGAGTTTCAGTTATTAGAATTGAGTTTAGCAAGATTGCTGGATACAAAAATAAGTATGCAAAATTAAAATTTTTTGCATACAATAAGTAGACAATTAAATTGTAAAAATATACCAGTTTCTAAATAAATTTTACAAAAGTTGTATAAATCCCTTATGGAGATACAGGATAAAGTAAAAAAGATTAAATTTCACTGAAAGATATTAAAGAAGACTTAAATAAATGGAGAGATGTCCCGTGATTTTGGTATGGAAACCAAATGATAACACTTTTCCTCAAATTGATCTGAGATTCAGTGCAATTTTGATGAAAATCCCAACAAGGTTTTAATTTTTATGTTTTTTGTTATTTTTCCTTTAATTTGACAAGGTGATTTTAAAATGCGTATGGAAGAACAAAGGCCCAGGAATAGCCAAGATACTCCTGAAGAACAAGACCAAGGTTGGGATTTGCTGTACCAGATATCAAGATTTATTATCATAATAATATCTGTGAGGATAGTCAAGAAAGTGCAGGGATGGAAATAGATAAATGGGTCAGTGGAACAGAACAGAGAGCCCAGTGATGAATCCATGAAGACTTACCTTCTGATAGAGGAGGCACTGTGGGGAAAGAGTATGAGATCGAGTCCTTATATTTTATACCCTATAACAAAATCAATTACTAATGGATCCACTGTGGAAACATGAAAAGCACACTGTAAATCCTTTAGACATTATTACTATAGAAGAATAGCTCCGAGGGCCCAGTGTGGGGAAGGATTTCCTAAATGTCAGGAAAAGCACAGATTACAAAGGAAAATACTGATAGGTTCTACTCATTAAAGTTAAGAACTTTGCTATTTATCAAAAGATACCTTAAGGAGAGTGAAAAGAAAGGCCACATATTGGGAGAAGTTATTTGTAACACAAGTAAAAGAATCAGTATTCAGAACATGAAAAGAACTCTCTCAAAACAATAAAAAAAATAGATAACCAACCCCGCAGAAAGGTGGAAAGCAGACTGGAGCAGGCACTTGATAGGAGAGGAGTCACGAGGGACCCGCAACAAATGAGAAGATGCACGGCTTTGTTAAGGACCAAGGAAACACAATAAAAACACAGGCAGGTAACACTTCACAACCACCAGATGGGCACACGTGAAAAAGTGAGATGGCACGAAGCGTTCGTTTGGTTAATGAGGCACCTCCGGGAGCACTGGGACCTGCGTCCACGGCCAGTGGGAGCATTAAGTTGGCACGACCACGTGGAGACCTCCCTGGCACCACGCAGTGAAGGGGAAGGAGCTATGACCCGCAGTTCTCGTGTGTACGTGTGCACCAGGGATATGAACAAGAACAGGCAGCAAAGCAAAACCAAACCAAACCAGTGCCTTCAACAGACTAATCCATTGTGACCCCCAGTGGAGTGGACTATTTATTGTACCACAGTAAAAATGAGCACATATCAGCTACACCTCAATACAGATGAATCTCCCCAATATGTGGAGTGAATAAAGCCAGTCACAAAAGAATGTGTACATTGTTTCCATTGATATAAAGTTCAAAAAATAGGCACAGCTAACCACTATATTGTTTAAAGGTAACTTTACATGGAAAAATGAGAAGGAAAATCAAGAGAAGGGCTAACAGAATTCGTGAAGATTAAGGTGGCGGCTGCCACTGGAGGAGGCACTTTCTGGTCCCTGAAAGGCAGCAGTGGCTTTCAGACATTGCTTGTGATGCTCCACCAGAAGAAAGGAGACGCACGGTGTATTTTATGTGTACGCACATATACACAAATACATGTGTATCTACACGTAACTGAAATGAGAGAGTCGCACAACAGGATCAGATTTGCTCAGGTGTTTTCTATTCTATCCTTAAAAAAAGCCAGTTGTGACCCACTAAATTGATTTGTACTCACTGTTTGAAAACGTTTTATTGCTTAAGTGGAAGGTTAGTACGTTGGCGTTGGTTTTATTATTCCTCTTTATGCTGTACTCATCTGTTTTATTCACCCTTCTGTTAAGAGCAGAAACCACTCAAAGCAAGTGGGGAGAGGACGCTGCCTGGGCCTGAGGCTCGAGCAGCTAATGCCAGGGAGGGCTCTTGTCTGAGGAGGAAGCCTGTGGACTCTGTGGGCAGGCGGGCTTCAATTTAGCTCAAGGAGCCTTTTGCAAGACCACGTGTGGTGGGGAGATTGGAAAGGTTCTCAGCTGTCTTCTCTCTGGTCTCTTCCCAAGGGCTGTCCTGGCCAGGCCTGGCCCAGCTTGCCTCCCAGCATGGAAGCCCTCAACGGCTGTCGGCCCTGGGCTTCAGCTCTCTCCAGCTTTCCCTTAGGGTGCCTGCCTCACCTGATGCGGGGCACAGACACCAGTGTGGCTCATGTGGCCCAGTGTCTTTTCCCTTCTCAGCCCGCTGCCCAGAACTTTCTAAGGGCATCTTTGAGCCCTACGCTGCCTTCTTGCAGGTGCCAAGCCAGCTGCCTCTGTCGACCCATGGGGAGTGCCCACCGGTGCCAGCACACACTCCATCTCCAAGAGCTCAGACCCCTGGGCAGCCCCGCAGCAGCCTGCCCCCAGTGCTGGGAAAACAGCTGACGCCTGGGCTGCAGCCTCGACCGCCAAGCCTGTGTCCACCTCTGGTGAGACCTCACCCTGCCCAGGGTCTGAGAGCCCCTTTGGGCCCCAGCGCTTTCCCCTCTCCTGGCTCCTTGGCGTGGGGCCTGTGGGTTTGCCTGCACCTGCTGCCCTCCTTCCTGATCCCCGGATGCCATGCGCCCAGTGTGAGGGGTGAGCTCTCAGGCCCTGTGGGCACCCGCACCTCCCTCCAGAGGGAGCTTCCCGAGGGGACCCTGGGCAGGCTGCCCTCCAGGCACTCCTTCCAGTAGCTTCCTACAGGCCCTGTCCAAGCTTCTAGACCCAGCTCAGTTGTGTCTCCACCACCATGAGCCCCTCCTTCAGTTTTGGGTGGGGGTGGTGGGAGCAGTGGCAGGTAAGCACCCCACACCATGCACAGGGAGGCCAGAGACGCTGGCCTGGCCCCCCCCCCCCCGGTCCCCTCCCAGCCCGCAGGTGACCCTGAGTGCTTGCTGCCCTCTGGCCCCTGTCAGAGTTCTCCCCGCTGAGGTAGATAGAGCTCTGCCTCCCCTGCCCGTTGCCAGCCCCACCTCGGGGTGTAGACAGGGCAGCGGAAGTACAGAGAAGTCATGATGGGCCCACAGTCACTGGCCTCTCGTGTTCACCTAGGGGCCTTTGATCTCTTCAGTAATTTGAATGGTACAATTAAAGATGACTTTTCTGAATTTGACAACCTCCGAACTTCAAAAACAACAGGTATGTAAAGGTGGTAGTGGTTTCCATAACGTTCTGTGCATTTGACCAGCCTGGTTATGGCAGAAAGAACAGTCAGCTCTCAAAACCTATCACCTTTATGCATTTTCTTTGCGTTTTGATCTTGGGAGCCAGAAACGTCTAATTGCAGGAATTCACACATCAGCAGAGAAAAGTCACGTGGTTGAGTTTTTCTTTCACCCTCTCCTCATGTTGGGCCCCATGTTTCCTAGCTGGTTCACCTCTGTGTCTCAGCCTTACTCCCCCGGGGCCCCCTGGCTGCCTGCAGAAGCCCACTGCCCTGGCCTGCCTAGCCAACATGGGCACCCGCCCCCAGGTCTGAGCCATCATTTCCATTCACCTTCCTCCTCCCAACTTCCCACTCCCCAAAGGTGCCACCTTTTCCGGACAGCCCCAGAGCTGGGCACGGATGCCGTGTCTCTGCCCTGCTTTATCACCCCCAGGCTGGTGCCCGTGTCCAGGAGATCCATGGTCAAGTCTTTAGGCCCAGCTCCTCCCCTGTGTGCCCCTGGGCTGGGAGGGGATCAGGGTGGGGTGCAGAGGGAGGAGGCCTGGGACGCCTTCTTCACACACCCCTAAGTGGGGCTGGGGACAGAGCCAGGCAGCCTGTGTGCATCTCAGGGCCACCCCTCCCAGCCACAAAGAGCAACTTCTCTCCTTTCTCTTTCCTGTCTCTGCTTCTCCCCGTGCCTCACCCATTCCCCGCCCCCCCGCCTCCCTCCCTCCTCCTCCCCCTCTCTCCCTGGCTGCAGCCACAGGCCTGGCTGTTCCTGGTGTAAGGTATGAGCAGCCTGGTGCCCCTGACCACCCTCTCAGCCCTGTCAGCTCAGGGCACCAGAGGCAACTTACAATGTGCTGCTTCTTGGGGTCTTTCTTTTGCTGCGTTAAAAAACCAACAAGATTCCATTGTCTCCTTCCTCGGCCAAAGTACAACCTAACTGTCCTTGCCACACCTCCGTGCCTCAGTGAGAAGGCACATGGCCTCGTCATGTGAACATCCTTCCGTGGACTTGTCAAACGTTTACCCCCATTCTAGAAGAATTCTCATTGTAGAAAACATGGGAAAGTTTATGGAAGAAAATGAAAATCATCCATAACCCTTCCACCTGCCCTCGACCACTGTGTTTCCTTCCCGTGTGTTCTCTGAGCTCTTCCATACAGTCTTTTTTGTTCAGTCCACACTGTCCGAGTCGAATCCTGCCCCTCTCCCGCCCCGCACTCGTACGGAATAACAGGACGAAAGCATTTTCTCGTGGCCTTAAAAATTCTTTAGGAAATATTTCATAGCTATGTGGTATCTCTCTGTGTGGCTCAGCAATAATTTATTTAGTCATTAATTTTGGGGAGGACATTTTAGGTTGAATTCAAGTTTTGTTGAAGTAAATAATGCCACGGTGAACATCTTTGTGCTTAAATCCCTGTTCACATTTTGCGTTATTTCTTGAGACTGGGTTCCTAGAAATGGGATTACTGAGTGGAGAGTATGACCGTTTTTAAGAACCTCTATGCCCACTGCCCTGTTGCATGTTGGCAAAGCAACCACATTCCCAATGGCCTGTCTCACACACCCTCTATTGGCTGGATTTTAAAAAATAATTTGCTTTCTTTTTAACTATCAAGAAATTCATGTTCATTGTAGAAAATGAAAACATAAAAAAATGTGAATTACCTGTGCCCAGCCACTCACCCCGAATCACATCGTAACATGTTTGGAGGGCTGTGCCGTCGTACTCTCTTGCCCCTGCTTTTCTCACTTGATGTTTTGGTGCAGTTCTCGTTCCTCGGCAGGAAGTCCTCTTCTGTCCCTGCACTCTGGGGTTTGGTTATACATTCAGTGGATAGCGGAACCTGCCCTGTGGCTGTTTGTCTCCAGTCTGGGGCTGTTGGAAACGACACTGCAATGAACATCCCCATCATCTGCACATCTGTTGTGTCCTCCGGGGACTCGCATGTCTGGGGAATGTCTGTGTTCTGCTCTGGACGCACCTGGGGTTGGACCAGTCTCGGGGCCTGCCCTCCACACTCACCATGCCCGTGTGTGTCCTTGTTTTGTAGCTGAGGTGGTGACCTCTCCACCATCGCAAAACAATGGAACTACAAGCCCTGACCCCTTTGAGTCCCAGCCCCTGACCATCGCCTCGAGCAAGCCCAGCAGTGCCCGGAAAACACCCGAGTCCTTCCTGGGCCCCAACGCAGCCCTGGTGAACCTGGACTCGCTGGTGACCAGGCCAGCCCCACCAGCCCAGTCCCTCAACCCTTTCCTGGCACCAGGTATGCTCGCTGCCCGGGGCTTCCTCTGGCTGTCTGCTCTTCCTGAGAATGGGTTTGGGGCAGGCCTCAGGCCCTGATCTCTCCTCTACCTCTGAGGGGCTCCTCCCGCTGCGTCCCACATGCAGGCACCATGCTCAGGGGTGTGCCAGGCCTTGGGGCTGGGAAGCAGTGGAGCCAGCTGGGAACTCCTACACTAGCTCTTCTGCCTCTCCAGGGCCTTGTGGGGTGGGATGTGAAAGCTGCTGTTCAGTTAAGGCGGGGTGGAAAACAGCCCCCCTCTTCAGTTGAGACCACTGAGCAGAAGCTGCCTCCAACTTGGTACCCCCAACCAGGGACACCCTCGAGCAAGCACTGGTTCTGGGTCAGCTAGAGGAGGGCAGTGCTGGGGGGTGAGGGAGAGCCAGGGTCTGCTGCCCAACATTCTGCCTTCTGGGTGGAGTGTAACAGGGCCCTTCAGCTGGGCCATCCTTCAGGGACCCAAGGACCCTCACTTGGCCCCTGGTGCTGGATTCTGCCTTTTCTGGGGCCAGGAACTCCACCCTACCACCATCTTCCCGCTGGCAGGCTGTGTCTAAAGACCTGCTCTCCACCCACAGAGGGGCTCTCCGTGGGCTGCAGGACAAGCCCTAGCCTTTGCTTTAGTGTCCAGGGCCCTTGTGGCCTGGCCCCACTCCCCTTCTCTCCCTGTGTGCTCAAACCCTCGTAACGTTGCTCACGCGTACGCATTCTGTTTCCTCTGCCTGGAGTGCCCTCCTGCCTCTTTTCCTGTGGATCCATCCTTCAGCACCCAGCCCAGACAGATGTCTTCCTCTAGGAAGCCGCCTTCCTTCCCCACAGATTTCCCAGCAAGGCCTTGGGCTCCGCAAGGACAAGAATGTGTCACATTCAAGGTGTTCAGCCTCAGACCCGCCCCTCGACAAAGGGAGATCTGAAGATCTGGGCCACTGCCCTTGATAGGACAGTGCAGAGCAGGACCCAAGGACTGAGGTTGGGGACCCTAGGGCAGAAGTGGGGCGTGTAGAGTGCCTGGCTTCCGCCCAACCCTGCCATCCTGAGGGGGGTGAGGATGTGGTTGCCCTCAGGGAAGGGTGGCTTTATGGCTCCTCACTCCCTGGGTGGAACTGGATTAGAACCCAGGTTCCGGGGCCGGCCCAGTGGTGCAAGCGGTTAAGTGCACGCGCTCCGCTGCAGCAGCCCGTGATTCGCCGGTTTGGATCCTGGGCGCGCACCAGCGCACCACTTGTCAGGCCATGCTGTGGTGGCGTCCCATATAAAGTGGAGAATGATGGGCATGGATCTTAGCCCAGGGCCAGTCTTCCTCAGCAAAAAGAGGAGGATTGGCAGATGTTAGCTCAAGGCAGATCTTCCTCACACACACAAAAAAAGAACCCAGGTTCATAAGCCAGCCAGGAGCCGTGTCCCTGCCCCAGGAGGGCTCCTGCCCTCTCTGCCCAGAGAGCCCTCGGGCCCTGTGGGAGCTCCACCAGCAGGCGTGTCCATCGGCAGTCTCCTCCAGGCTTTCGGGGCAGCCATGTCAGGGCCTTGGGGCAGCTGTGCTGTCTGCAAACAGTTTGTGGTCCCTGGGGGCTGCAGCCAAGATGGAGGAGGTTCAGGCCGCCCTGCTGGACCTCCAAGGCCATTCTCCAGGCCACACAGGTGGCTCTGGGCTGTCACTTGTCATTTCTAGGGTTCTGGCTCAGATCCTTCCTGGGTGGGGGGCCTCAAGCAAGTCCCTGTCCTGCTCTGTAGGCTCGGTTTGCTCATCTCTAACCAGGGGTGATCTGCAGAGCCCACGTCCTAGGGTGACGAGGAGCAGTTGATGCAGGAGTGTCGGTGTGCCCGCAGTGGGACCCGCCTCCCCCGCGGTGGGGCAGAGTCTCCTGCTGGTGACTTGTGGGGTGCCCCTGCTGGGCAGCCTTTGTGAGCAGGGGCTGGGCTGCGTTGGAGACTCAGGGCTTGCAGCTCCCATGTTTTTTGGCAGAGAATCAATAGATGTTTTTGCTCAAGTGGGGAAAAGGTTTTCTGATCCATTTTGGAAACACTGGGTAAGACAGAGTCTGCATCCACTTCACGACTGCAGAACTTCTCAGAGCCTTTGTTATGCCAGGGTCCCAGGGTGCAGCATGGGGAGTGCAGCACTCAAGCCACACGCTCTAGTTCCCACCTCCCGCTTTGTTCTCCTCTCTCCCAGACACCTGTGGTCACAGAGCTTGGCAGACAGAATAAGGGAGCGAGGCCAGTCGTTTGTCGCTGAAGGAATCCTTGGGTGCCAGCCCTGGAGCAGCTGGAGCCCCACGAGCCTGGCATGTTCCTGGCACTGCCTTGTTCAGGCTTTGTGACCCTGGACAAGTCACTTGGCTTCCCACAGCCTTAGCCTCCTCATCCACTGGAGATGCGTTCAGTCCACAGATGTGTCTGCCGCGTGCTGGCTGGTGCTACTGTGGGCTCTGTGGCACAGCAGGGGTCGGGATGCCGCCAGGCCCTGAGGGCAGGCTCCCTGAGTGCCTGCTCCCGTGGCCTTGGTCTTCCCGCCTGTGGACTTGGGGACGGATGTTCTGACTCTGGCCACTTCCTTCCTGCTCTCTCCCCAGGCGCAGCTGCGGCTTCGGCCCCTGTCAACCCCTTCCAAGTGAACCAGCCCCAGCCACTGACGCTGAACCAGCTGCGAGGGAGCCCGGTACTGGGGTCCAGCACGTCCTTCGGGCCTGGCCCGGGTGTAGAGCCCATGGCTATGGCCTCCATGACCTCCACAGCCTCACACCCAGCTCTGGGGGTCAGCAGTTCCTCCCTGACGCCACTGGGCCCCACAACGATGAACATGGTGGGCAGCATGGGCATCCCCCCATCGGCTGCTCAGGCCACCGGCACAACCAACCCTTTCCTTCTCTAGTGCCCGGGCTGGGGACCCGCCGCAGAGCGAGTGCCCAGAGCATCTGCGCCCGAGGACGCCGAGCAGGGACTGTCGTTTGTGGAATGGTGTCTGAGAGTTGGGGTGGGTGTTAGGGATTTCCAGTTCCGGCTTCCTGATCAAGGGTTGTCTTTACAGCCCTGACCCTCGGACTCAGTGGTGGCAGGCTTGCTGAGACATGAGACAGAGCACGCAGGTCTCCACGCCGTCTGAGGTGCCTGCTCACCTGTCCCCAGTCCGCAGCCTGCGTCACGCGGGCCCGCCCCTGACCCAGCCTGGCCACCCTCCCCGCCGCCTCCCGAGCACAGGGCCCTGGCTCCTGTGGAGATGGCTGGCTCTCTGGGGCTGTGGACGAGGAGGCGGGAGTCCTCGGTGTTGCCCTTGCCCCCAGCCTCAGCCTGAGGGTCTTTGGGTCACTGCCTCACCCAGGACTTGGGATGGCCGCCTCGTCTTTGCCCCCCAGCCCCAGCGACACCCCAGGCGTCCCAGTGTGACAGATGAAGTGCCGCTCCATCAGACCCTGACCTCCATCAGACCCTGACCGTTTAGGGAAGTGGTTGTGCATATTTTTCTTCGACTCGTGTGTGAGTTCAAAGTAAACAGCACCGCTGTGGAACAACTTGGATTAAGTCCACTAGAGCAAGCTTTAAACTAACCTGAGCATAACCCTGCCACACGGCTCTATGCTTGTACACGTTTGCACATATTTTGTTTAGTACAGTTTCATATTTGAGTTTGCAGAATTATCTAATAGTCTTTTTTTGGCTAATATTTTTATAACGTGGTTCTTATTTAACTGTCTAGTTTTGATAGAATTTACCAGGTCTGGCTGAATTAAGATACGGGCACGTGTCATGTTAGTGGTTTAAATCCTCTTATTTATGGTTTTAATTCTGTAAGAAAATTTAAAGAGGAAGAGTCAGAAAAAATGCCGTATGGGAACTAAAGCAAATTCTTTACAGGGAAAAATACGGGAATTTGATTACACATAAAAGATGATGTTTATTTAAAAAGAAAGAAACTACAACAGCAGCAAAAAATCCTAGCCTCCTTGCCTTTTCCTTTCTTGAACTCCCCTTTTTGGTGAATTACCAAACAGATTGACTTTCAGCCTTTTGGGCTAGATCCTAAGAGAGAGGCTATTTTTCTTACTGAGATATCAATATCAAGGAAGTTAAAAAAATGTAGTGTATGAATGTGACTCACCAGTTTGTATCAGCGAATTCCCTTTTGTAAGGCACGCACGGATTAACAAGGACTTCCGCTTACAGTGGAGAGCCGAGACGGAGGAGCCGTCTTGAACCTGTGTCTGGTCTCCTCTCACTGCATGCTCAGGGTAGAGATGGGGAGAGTGGAGACAGCAGTTGTCTGGGGGGCAGTGGCGCGTCTGTGCCCTTGGCTCCCTGGGCGACGGTCCCTGGGCTGAGACGAGGTAAGGGCCCAGGGCTGCCTTGACCCACCCACCTTGCAGTCACACATTGCAGACTTAAAATAATCATCTCTTATTTTGGAGAGGAAGAAAAAAAATCATTCTCACACAGAATAGATTTTTAACAAATATGCACTAATATTACCTCCCTCTTCCAACCTCCTACTTTCCTTACCCCACCCACCACTATCAAAAGAGTATTGAGTCACAAATTAAATACAGAAAAGACTTGCTTCTCCCCAGGGAAGGGACATTCCGCCTGAATTCTGTGTCCGGTCAGCTTGCTTGGCAGGCGTTGCAGTCTCCCTTTCCACTGTGGCCTTCTCAGCTCCAAGGGCAGCCGACCACCTGGTGGTCCCTCCGAGGAGGGATGGGGCCCCTCCACCCCTCTCTCTGGGTCCAGAGGAGATCTGACCCTCGGCACTGGGCCCAGGAGAGATGGAAAGTGCCGGGAGGCGTGCAGGCTGATTCAGAGCTGCCCGCTGAGGCCCTCTCCTGTTGCCTGTGTGAAAGAGCTCACCTATGCCGCTCCTCGAGGCTGCCCTAGGGCCCCAGGAGCCACCTGCCCAGAGCTCCTGCCCAGCCACGCCTCTGCCAGAACCGGAGGCCTGGGGCTGGACTGGGGGCTCTGAAGTCATTCACGCCGCGTCTGGCCTCATCCGGCCTGGGGGAGGGTGGAGGCGGGGCAGGACTCGGGCAGGATGCTGCCCCAGGGAGGTGCCGTCACTCCAGCCATGCAGCCCTGACCACCTCACCCGCCAGTAGACCTCACTCGACTCCTTGGGTCAGTGATTCTTTTGTAACAGTCAAGAGCCCTTCCTGATGTGGCTTTGAGGCCCCAACGTTACAGCCACTGGGCCACCAAGGCCCAAGAAGACTCCTGCCCCGCCTCCCGGCACAGGCCCGTCCCCAGGCGCCTCGTCCCTGTTGCCCGCTGCACTGATCATGAAGCCACCGGCCACTGCCACGCATGTTGTACACATGCCATCAAGCTCCCTCCTGATGGGCACCGTGGTAGGAGCGTCACCCAGCTGTTTTCCCAGTCCCAGGGGCCGGTGGCTGGTTTTGAACTTGTGTTGACTATTGATACTTATTTACTGTATAAATATAATTTATCATTTGTATCATGATGCGGTTTCTGGCTGTGTCCTTCCCCCATCCCCATCTTTATGAATCCTGCGACACAGGAGAGGGGTGGGCCGGCTAGGGAGCCGGTTCTTCCCTGGAACCCAGCTTGGCCTGCGGTTAAGGAGGCCGTTGACTTGGTCTCGGTGCCCATGTGAGTCTCTGAACGTCAAGGAAGGAGAGGCTGGGAGGCTGCCCTCTGTGGCCCATGGTGCGGGACACCGTGACAGCTGGTCTGCAAGGGCATGCTGATGCAAGTACCGGCTAGTCTTTTACCCCTTGCCGTGACCTTGTCAGGGGTGCACGTCACCACCCATGAACTTCGGGCTTAGCCATAAGACTTACTTAGAATGAGGTGTAAGTGACGGTTCCAAGGCTGCGTCTCCAGAGCCTGCCGCGCTTTGCTTCCTCTTCCGTGTCCATGCCACCAGAAGAGCTGCTGCTTGAGAAGCTGCCCAGCCCACCTGCAGATCCAGGAGATGGCGATGGTGGTAGCCACTGGTTCTTGGGTGGCTTGTGCAGCTTCCCTGTGGCAACGGCTGACTGGTGCAGAGGGCCTGTCCCCTCTGGGAAACTGATCAGGGGAGGTGTAGCGGCTGAAGGACAGAAATTCCTTTCCAGGCAGAGGTGGCAGAGTGCTCTGATTGTAGAGGGTGTACAGCAAAGGCAAGGACGGGTGGAGGGAGATGAAGGTGGAAAGGTGGTGAGGGAGGCGAGGGGCAGGCGTGCAGCTTCTCTCGTGAGGGAGGGCCCAGTGCTGACCTCTGCTCTGGGGCTGCTCTGCACACCCATCTTTCTGTGCTGAAGATCTGGCCCCCTGGCGCCCACGTGGGGAGCAGGAGTCAGTAGGGAGGGTTTGCCAGAGCCTGGATCAGCCGGGGGTCCACTCCAGGACAGGCGAGAAGGGTGTTCGTCCGGGTGCTCTGGGTTACCTTGCGGTAACAAACCTCCACATCTCAGTCGCTTCACACGACAAGTTATTTCTCACCAAGTACGTGTGTGGCTGCACAGCGCTCCAAGCAGTGGTGGGGGACCGCGGCTGCTTTCATCTTGTGACACTGCCACCCTCGAGGCACAGCCCTGAAGGCTGCCGTGGAGGGGAATGAGTGAGCAGAGTGAGACGTGCTCCAGATTTCTTAGGGGCCAGGCCTGGAAGTCCGCGGCTTCCACCCTTGTCCTAACACCAGAACCGGTCCCATGGCTCCATCTAGGTGCAGGGGAATGAGAAGTGCAGGCTTCCTTTGCGCCCAGGGGGACGGGAAATGGGTTTGTCACAGCTGGCCCTCTAGTCACCAAATAATTATGCAGGGAACCACATCCCCTCCCCCTAGGGAGGCCTCAGGTCCCATCCAGTCATCTGTAGAATCATGAAAGAGAATAAATGGTGGTGGTTTGTTAGCAAGAGAGAACAGGAGCACACACACAATTCTTTTCTAGACATGAGCCTACTTAATTTCTTGTTGCCTTATCCCCAAGCTTCTTTCAACTTCATGGTAACTGCTGTGAGGCCATTTGGGACATTGGGGGGAGGGCCACCCTCTTAATCAGATATTTACCCAAAGGCTGAGTTACTTCTCCAAATGAGAAGTTTTCTAGGCCTTTATTGCTCAAAGCATTCTTCAATCTCTTCCCATTTGAGTTCTAGAAAGTTTCCTTTTCCAACCTTTCGATGCCAAAAATTTTTGGATTCTCTTTATTTCCTGTCATTTCTGCTTGCAAACTGGCCATTTCTTTCCTGAGCTCATCCCTTTACTGTGATAACTCTCCAAATACAGCCAACAGTAGCCACCACATACCACACGCCTGCCATCTCCCCCCTCCTCAGAGCCGTGGGCGCAGCAGGCGCATGACCCCCTCCCAAGTTAGCACAGGGTCTCACCTCAAGTTCTGTCCTGCTCTCCAGCCGTTTATCTCTTCTTCCTGCATGCCGCCCAACTGCTTAGCTAATGCCACGTACGTTCATGTGGATTTTGTTTTGGTCTCAGCAAAAAACCCACTCCTGATACCAACTGCCATATCAGAATAGAATGGGCTCTGCAGGAATAAACCCCAAACTCTGGCTGAACCCAATAAAAGTTTCTCACAGAATGCCCACTGGGGATGTTCCTGGCAGCTCAGTGACCCAGGCCCCTCCCTCATGATGCGCCATCTTCAACAGTGGCCTCAGGGTGCTGTGGAAAAGGAAGAAGGAGAAGGATGGCTCACGGGAGGTGTTAAACGAGTCAGAGCTCTAAGTGGTGAACATCCTCTCAACCCACATTTCCTACATTTCCTCAGCCTGAGTTACACACAGGGACCCACCTGGATACAGGGGCCCAGGAAATGCAATCTTGAGCCCAGAGGAAAAGGAAATGGGCTGGTGAACACAGCTGTGCCACAGTGGAGGACAGAATGAGGAGCAAGTGAGGGGTGAGCTTGGGGGCCGCAGGCCTTGACTGCTCACGTAGATGGTGACAAATCTCCACCTGCTCCCCAACTCCCAGACGCAAACACACGCCCTCAGCCTCCAAAGTTCCAGTGTCGTCCTCTTGCCTTGACTGGGAAGAGGCATGAGGGAGCTTTCTGAGGGGATGGTAACATTCTGTACCTTGATGGGGGGTGGGCATGCACTTGTCCAAACTCAGCTCCTGGTACACTTAAGATTTATGCATTTCATTGTATGTAAATGTTCCCTCAAAAGAAAAAACCCCACCTAAAAACAAATATGGAACTCCAGTTAATGGTAAGCATGCTGAAATATGCAGGTGTACTGATGTCTGCAGTTTATTTTGAAATGCACTAAAAATAGGACGATTGATGGAGAGATGAAGAGTTGGGTAGACGTAAAAACACCAGGACAGGAAAATGGTAATGGTATCATCTAGGTGCTTTGTATGAGTGTTTACTGTAAAGTTATTTCAACTTTTCTGTTTAAACATTTTAATAGTAAAATGTTGGGGCCGGCCCCGTGGCGCAGCGGTTAGGTGCGTGTGCTCCGCTGCTGGCGGCCCGGGGTTCGGATCCCGGGCGCGCACCAACGCACCGCTTGTCAAGCCAGGCCATGGCGGCGTCCCATATAAAGTGGAGGAAGATGGGCACAGATGTTAGCCCAGGGCCAGTCTTCCTCAACAAAAAGAGGAGGATTGGCATCAGTGTTAGCTCAGGGCTGATCTTCCTCACAAAAATAAAGTAAAATAATAAAATGCTGAAAAAAATTTTTTAAATTAGGAAATTAAACAATGAGAAGAGGGTGAGCCACTACGTCAAAGGTGCTGACAGACGGGGTACCTGTGACCTGAGACTTGCCCATGGACTTGACAGGACGGCGGTTTCTGGGCAGTGACAGGGAAGAAGGCCAATTGGCACGGGTGGAGGGGAGGGAGGAACAGAATGCAGCCCCTCAAGGCGCTGCACTAGGATGAGGCAGAGGAGTGGAGAAGCACGTGGAGGGCCCAGGGTTTTTCTTCATGTGGTGGTTCTGTAAGGTAAGAGAGCACATGTGGAGGCTGGTGTGAATAACCCCGCAGAGGAAAGCACACGGGGGAGGGAGGGAGAGCTGCGGGAACGACACCCGTGAGAAGCCAGAGGGCATGGGATCTCGTCCACACGTGAGGGGCGGCCTCAGGCAGGACCAGGTAGGACCACGGCGTTTCTGGAGCAAATGTAGGTTGGTGTCAGATGGCGTGGAGGGAACATGAGGGAGTCTGTCTTTCCATTTCCTCATGAGCACTTCAGCTGAGGGGAGCGGGTACTGGAGGTTTGAAGAGGAAAAAAGGTGTGAATGAGTTTTCTCAGGGAATGCAAGACGGAGGTGCCTAAGGAAATAAGGGGCGTTGCTTAGCAGCACTGAGGGAGACCTGGCCAGGGACCTAGCGTGGGCAGTCCTCGGGCTGGCTGCTCTCTGACCATGCCTCGGCCTTCAGCGGGTGGCTAGGTTTCACGAGGGCTGAGGTTGGCCAAGTGAGAGATAAACAAACAGACAGGGCACAAGAGTTGAGCGTGTATGAAGGGAAAGTACGTGTGAATGACGACTGAATTCAAAATTGGGCAGGGAGGAAAGGAAAGGAGGGGCTAGCAGTTGGCACAAAGAGGGTCTGTGGGTGGCTTGGAGGAGCTGGATGGAATGAAGGATGGTTGGAGTGGAGACCACATAGGGAGGGAGCCGTCTGGAAGAGGGATGCTTGGATGCACATTTTGGAGGTGATGTAGTCATTGGTAATAAGAAACAGGCTCTGGCCATGGGAGCGGGCAGCTACTGAGGGGCACAGGGCAAGGGAGGAGGCTAGAGAGAGCCCAAGTTGTGGGGAGATCTTCCATGTGGGCACTGATGTTGCCAAGACTAGCTAGAGGGAGCGACAGGTCATCAGGCCTTTGGTGGCTGTCAGTAGTGTGGTCTGATGGCCTGGCTGTCGAGGGAGCTGGGATGGGGAAGGAGGAAATGCTAATAAGGGGCAAGAACACAAACCCCGTCTCCAGGCTCACGGTGGATGGCATGTGGGAGCAAAAAGATACCGGCTTTGAGGGCTGCAGCGGGCAGCGTAGGCTTCAGTAGGGGTCAGAGGTGGAGGGAATTTTCCATTCAAAGAGGGTTGGAATCACAGGAATTTTGCTGATGACAGACCACGAGTTCCAGAGCACACAGTGAGTTGGGGGCAGGGGCTAGGAGTGGCCCGAGCAGCATAAACTTCTGGTGCTGAGAAGTAAGTGTGATAAAGGGCAGAACACGGTCAGTTCATGTGGCCTCTTACAGCAAGTGTGAATTACAGTCAGGGCGGTGTGTAGTGACCAGGCTGGTGGTCTCCAGGCTTAGGGGTGGGGTGACTAGGAGGCTGGGGCAAGGCACTTGGTGGCCGCCTGAAATCCTGTGAGGGTGGTGTGCAGGCCTGGGAGGAGACTGAGCAAGCTCTGGTCCCACCCCCAGAGGGCTCACCCGGAGCTGCGGGTGACGGGGGACACACTGCCTCTGCTGGGCCCAGGCTGTGTGGGGAGAAGGTAAGAAGGCCCAGCCTCGGGCTGAGGGTAAGGTGAGAGGGGGACTCCACCACAGCAGGCTGCGAGGGCTGGCTCACAGAGCACAGGTGTGGGCCGCGGGGCTCACCTTCCTCTCCTGCTGTGAGACTTGGCAGAAGCTGGAATTCCAGCAGCTTCCTACTGCTGGGAGGTCTTCAACCCTGACCCCTGGGCTGCGGAGTTGGGGGGCAGGCAGAGGCCTGGCTGGTGGCCTCACCATTCAGCTCCTGCTGACAGGCTTTTCTCCTTCTCGCCAGGGGAGGCTGGCAGTCATGGAGCATGGCCGGCACGGGTGCCAGGCACCGAGCAGGCAATTCTCCTTAACCCCCAAAGCCCCCACAGTGGATGACGCGCTTGTCTTAGGGATGAGCATGTTGAAGCGCAGAAAAGGCCACACAGCCCTGAGTGGCAGAATCAGGGCAGAGCCAACGCTCATGTCCTAGTCGGCCATCCTGGTGGTGGCCTGCTCCCGTGGGGGAGGTGCTAGAGGGGAGAGGAGGCAGCCCCAGGCCTGGGCTCTGTAAAAAGGTAAGACTTTATTGTATAACACCCCCACCCCAGGCTGCACTTCAGGCAGATGATCCGTGGCGGACTCTCCCGAAGGATGCCCTGCGTTACTGGAGAGCTGCTGGTCTGCACAGAGGGCAGTGGAGGGGCCCTCACCGGGGGAGGCCCGGGGGCGGGCTGGGCCCCAAGACGCCCTGTGTGTCTGGAGGCCCAGTGTCGTAGCCCAGCTTCCTCATGTCCTTGGTCACCACGTTGAAGAGGAGAGTGACAAAGCCCTGGGAGCGGACACGCGTCACTGGGGACAGAAGGGCAGTGTCAGTCGGGCTGGGGCAGAGAGATCCAGGCTGCTTTGGGACTCTCTCGGCCTCAGTGTTCTCTCCTGTAAAATGGGACAGCACTTGGCCTATGTCCTCACTGGGAGGTGAAAGGGCTGCAGCGGGGACAGACAGACACGGACAGCCCTCCAACCAGGCCCACAGCTGGGAGGTGCTCCCGCAGGACCAGCGTCTGCGTGCCTGGCAGGTCCCTGGCATCCCCCGTCTGTTTCCTGGGGACCCACCTAGTCCCTCCCAGGCCCCAACCTACCCATGGAGTGGGGGGATCAAGCTTTACCTTCCCGGCCTTCACCCTGAGCCACCACCTTGGGGTCTGTGTACTCAGGCCGCCGTCCCATGAACCAGCTGGGAAGACAGGAGAACACTGGATGAGCACGACCCACCCCCCCACCCCGGATAGCCCTCAGACACTGGACATGGGGTCTCTCTTTGCTCCAGAAACCAGCTGCCCTCCTCCAACCCCTCCCCCAGGGCCAAGCCCCGGGCAGAGCCTCCCACACCCACCGTCCCTCTGCCCATCTGAAAAGCACGGTGGTGGAGTCCATGGAGGCCTGGTGGGCTTCCACCAGACCCCTGGTGCTCTGCAGCCCCATCCCTCCTCAGCTGGATGCCAAGCTTCCCCATCACCATCACCCATGGGTCTGGTTCACTGAGGCTTAAAGCTGAGGGAGATCTGGGGCGGGGTGGGGTGAGGGCATGGCTCGAACCCAGGTGGAAATCCCAGGAAGGCAACAGCAGCTGAGGTGGGGGAGGGGAGAGGAGCCCGGGGACAGTATGACCCCCCACCCTCCCTGGGAAGGAGGGCCCCATCCCAGAGTTCAGCAACCATCCTTGGTGTGGCAGAGGCCAGATCTGGGCTCTCCACTTTCCTCTTAATAGTGTGGGATCCAGGACAAGTCACTGCCCATCTCTGAACCCCAATGTTCTCAACTGTGATGGGGATAATAATGGTACCTACCTCACGGGACTCTGAAGGCACTCTGTCCACGGCCACATAAGATGTGAACCTTACTATCTGTGGTTTGCACTCTGGGGTACACCTGCAGAGGGCGCACTTGTCTGCAGTGACACACTCCATCATCTAACGCCACTCACCCTGGTGAGGTGCCCCGACCCCCGCTGCCTTCCTTCCCCTCACAGCAGCCTGGCTCTGCGCATCCCCGCCTTACAGAGGGGAGAGAAGTCCAGTGACTCGCCCAAGGCCACAGTTAGGAAGCAGTGGAGCTGCACGGGACCACAGCCTCCCGACTCCAGGCCCCGTGGCGCTGAGCCAAGGCAGCTCCTTCCAGAGCAGCAGCCTCGCCTCCGACACACCCACTCGAGCCGGAAACAGACACGTGCACTATTCCTGGCTGGGTGGGCCAGGCAGACGCGGGCTTTGTCCTGGAGCCACCTCCCGGGCCTGCACTTTGGGGACCTGCACTGGGGAGGCCAACGATGTGACCACCTGGGCAGCGCGGGGTGCCAGGAAGGCCCCGTGGCCTCCCGTATGTAAGGAGTGAGGCCCCTGCGCCTCTCGCGGTCCCCGCACTCCTGGAAATGCCCGTCTTCTGGTGCACAGCAGCTCCCAGCACGGGCTCCGCCCTGCCCTCCGTGGAGGGGCTGACCCACAGGAGGGCCCAGCACCCGTCCAGGCACAGCCGCCCTCGACACCCGACGGGCAGGGAAGCTGGGCGGAGGCTGGGTGAGTCTTCCCTCGGCCCGGCCCACCCTGATGGTGGAGGGCGCCAGTGCCACTGGTGCTGCCCAGGGCAGGGGCTCCGTCTGCCGGCTCACGCTGCTGGGTGAAGGAACAACCGCCCAGTCTGTCCGCAGGCCATGTGCGGATGCAGTGGGGGCCTCACAGATGCCCAGCACCAAGGAAGAGGACAGGGAGGGAAATGGGGAACCCAGGGTTCCAGCCGGGGCTGGGTGGGCATCACCACCGCTCTGCACCTCAGTTTCTCCATCTGAGGAGTGGGGCTCTAACAGCACCCACCTCACAGGTTGCTGTGAGGACGGAGGCACGGGTGGCAGCCACCACGAGCCTGGCACATCCCAAGTGTGAATCCACGGAGCTGCCAGGGCCACTGCATTTCTCTCTCTGAGGTCGGCTGGGGTGGGAGAAGAGGCAGATGTTCAGGGCAGTGTTCCAGGCCAGGGCCCGAGGCAGGGGAGGACCCAGGGGGCTGGAAGAAGCGAGGCAGGGGAGGCAGGTGGGGGAGAGGGCACGAGGTCAGCAGGGCCAGAGAACTCGGGGCTCGTCACCTGCTAGTTGAAGGTGATCCTAAATGCAGACGTGAGCCTGAGTAGTTTCTAAAGTGGTGTTTTCGGAAAACCTTTTTTGTTACTATGTGAAGACTAGCCAGAGGTGCTGTCGTAGGCTGAATAATGGCCCCAAAGATACCAGGTCCTCGTCCCTGGAACCTGTGGATGTGACCTCATTGGAAAAAGGATCTTTGCAGATGTGATTAAGGTGAGGGTCTTAACATGGGAAGATTATCCTGGATTATCCAGGTGGACCCTAAATGCCATCCCAAGTGTCCTTGTGAGAGCCCAAGGAGATTTGATACAGGGGAGGCCGTGTGACCGCAGAGGCAGGGACCTGAGCAATGCGGCCACAAGCCAAGGCAGGCTGCAGCCACCAGAAGCTGGAAGAGGCAGGAACAGACTCTCCCCTAGAGCCTCGGGGGGTGTGCCTGCGGACACCTTGATTTTGGCCCAGTGATGCTGGTTTTGGACTTTGGCCCTCAGAAGTATGAGAAAATAAATTTCCGTTGTTTTAAGCCATCAAGTTTGTGGTAATTTGTGACGGCGGCCACAGGAAACTAACGCGGGCTGAGAGCGGGAATGGGCAGGCCAGCGAGGCTGACAAAGGACGGACGGGAGGCCATGGGAGAGCAGAGGAGGGAGCCACAGAGGATGCCAGGGAGCGGGGAGGCAGGGAGGGCTGCGGATGACCCCAGGGCTCTGGCCTGAGCAAAGGGGGCTGCTGGAGCCAGCTGCTCAGTGGCCTCCACAAAGCTTGCCTGGGAAGATTCTGTCCATCAAACTGCCTCCACTAATCAGACCTTTCCCCAGCTTCTGTAACTCAAGCACAGGCCGCCCTGGCAGTTGAGAGCCCCTCCAAAGGGCGGGAGATGGCCCCTGCCCCGAGCTGCTATCCCTCAGCACCAGCAAAAACCCTGACTGCTTTACAAGCTGTGAGGCCTAACTTGCTCAGGAGTGGAACCCTCTCCACAGCGAGAGCTCACGTGGAGGCCCAGACTCTCCCCTCAGAGCCGTGGGACATGGAGTGGCATGAACGTCCTGGCCAGGATGGCTGTGTGGACACTCAAAGCCCGGAACCTTCCCCGGACCCACTGACAGGCACTACCGCCCTCCCCCACTTCCCCGACAGCCCTGTGGGGTGGGTGTTGTCACCTCCGGCTTACACTGGTCCAGGGCATCTGGCTAATAAGCCCCTTCCCAGCATGGTGGCCTCTTAGAGCTTCTAGGGGCAGTGGGCACCCAAATTCTCCCCTCCCCAGCCACCACAGCTCAGTGAGGCTCCCTTGGCTCAGGCCCGACACTGTCTCTCCACCCAGCAGGGCTCTGGCCAAGCCTCACCCTGATACTGGCTAGGCCTGCAGGCAGCAGCTCGCCAGCGGCCGCCTGGGCACCCAGGTGGTCCTCCATTTCCCCCTCATCCTGGCTGTGAATGGAGGGCTCAGGGCCCATGCCCAGCTGACCTGCTGGGGAGCAGTGGTGGCTTGCAGCTGAGCTGAGCTGACGGGAGCTTCTGTCCCCAAGCTTGAGTCAGTCAGCCAGGGCCCAGCTGGCCCTCCAGCTCCTACTTGGATGTGGTAAGGGGCAAGAGGCCTCTGGGCCGCTCTTCCTTGTCATTTGTCCACAAGCATGCCCCGCAGGCGCTGTGTCCCGGCGGACCCCCGCCTCCCTGCCGTCTCCCCCCACATTCCCCCTTGCTCACCACTACGAGCCACACCCACCTCTTGGCTGCTCCTAACACACTAAGCTCACCCTCTCCTCAGGGGCTTGCACATGCTGCTCCCTGTGCCTGGAACACTCTTCTCCCAGACCTGCCACGTTGGCCCCTCGCCTCTGCTCTAGTATCTGCTCAGGTGTCACCTCCCTGCAGAGGCTGCCACCTGTGAGGGCGTTTAGTGACTGACTGATAGAAGATACCTACTAGGATGGTTATTACTGTTTCAGGTTGTCTGGCTCCCCCTGCTGTAGCCCCTCCTATCTCACCTTTTTAACGTGACATTATGTCATGGGCCCTTTCCCATCTGACAAGAGTTTTTCTCTGCTCCATCTGACAGACATTTAACAGGGCACAGAGTAAAACTGCATGGCCTTATGCTGCCGGGACAGTGGCCGAAGGGGGCCCAGTGATCCTCAGCAACCCCACAGAACCCGTTTCCATTTGTCCCCAAAAGACGGAGCAGCCTGAAGATCTGGCGAGGCTACCTGGCACAAACGAGGGGTGGAACGCGACGTCCCTCCCTCCACTCCGACCACCTGCGTCAGAAGGAGGGGCCGGGGGGATGTGTAGAAAACTCACCTTGTAAACTTCTGCAGTTTAGACGTAGATTCTGGGACAAACATGGGGATGGTCCTTTTGTGCCTGAAACAAATGTTTTCACAGACAGAAGTGCTGAGTAACAGAAAAGTGACGGAACTTTCTGAGCCTCTGGCAAGCAGCGAGCAGGAGCACTCCCAGATCAGGCAGTGCCAAGTCAGAGCCCAGGCTGGCCGTGCCCGCTGTGCCCAGGCCGGACGCCGAGTGCTGAGAGAGCACCGTGGACAGCAGGCCTGGACCCTGCCTCGCACGGCTCAGCGTCCCGGGAGCGTCTCGTTTCTTTCAAAGGGTCAAGAGGATGCTGAGGGTTACAAAAATCAAACGTGGGGTCCTGGCTCACACCGTGACCCTCAAAGCCCTGTCCTTCTCCAGATGTCCAAACGTGCTGCCATCTTCCAGGCCCTATTGGGATGCCCTTCCTCCAGGAAGCCCCTGACACTGGCCAGGGTGCAACCCCTGCTGTGGTTACCTGCCCCAGTCCAGTCCCTTCCTCAGAGCCGGGGATCCTGCCCCTCACCTGCCTGGTCCCTCCCTCCTGTCCACGCCCCCTCCCCTGGCATCCTGCACTTTGTGTTTCCACAATAACACTCAGAGCACTCAACACACGCGCTGCTCCTCCTCCTCCCTCCGCCTTCTCTACACAAACCCCTCGTCTTTTAAGGTCAGCTACCCCTGGCCCTCCTCTGTGCCCAGAATACCCTGCATCCGCACCTCGTCACTGTGCCTAACTAAAGAGAATCACGTCTTTCCATCTGTGTCTGGGGGCTTCTGAGGGCAGGGCCTGTGTGGTCACACGTGTCTGACACACCTGTGTCCTGATGCCGGCAGAGCCAGGTACAGAAGGGGTATCGGTGGGGCGCACAGCACACTGAGGGAGGGAAGAGGTGCAGGAGGGAGTGTCCCAACTCCAGACCCTCCGTGCCCGGAACAAGCTGCAGCTAGACCCAGCTCCCCTCAGGATGCCCTGTGCTCCCTGCCGGGACCTCCGACACTCCCTGCCTCCCCACCTGCTGCTTGGGCGGCAGCATTAGCCTCACCCACGTGGGTCTCCTCCCAGCCATGGGATGCAGCCCCACCTCCAAGCCGAGCTGCCCAGGCCCCTGGGGACCCCAGCACGTTCCTAGTCTAGAGGTGAAGGCTGTCTCAGGAAAAGCCCTGCTGAAGGTGCCCAGGCCCCTAGGCCAGCATGGCCCAGCAAGGGACGGGCTGAGGCCCAGGGCCCAGGTCAGAGTGAGGACCTACCGGCCAGGGGAGAAAGGCACGTGCACCGCCCCGTAGCCTCGGACCACATCGTTCCCGAACACGTCCGGCCCGTACACGCTGAGCACGATCTGCGGCCCTTGGGGAGGACAAGGCAGGGGGTCAGCACGTGGGGATACTCAGGGGAAGGTACAGGGCAGAGAACAGGGAGGATGGCGCTCAAAGCCCTAGGGGTGTGGGCTTGCTGAAGGGCAGGAGCGGACATGGCACCCCTCTGCACCAAGGGTTTCTGCCAAGAGGCAGGCGGGGAGGCTGGGGAAACTGGAACCTGCTGGCCAGGCCCCTGGCTCAGTCCAGATGCCCGAGTCACCGAGCTCAGATGCTGCCCAATTCTGTCTTTCGACAGACACAGGAAGTGCCTCTGGAGGCCCTGTTCAAGGCACGAGGACCCAGCTGTGCACTGAGCAAAGGGCCCACTCTTGGGAGCTTCCCTTCTGATGCAGACCACAAGGGCTCCCGGGCCAGAGAGGGGCTGGTTTGGGGTGTCCATGGGAGAGGTCAGAAAGCAAAGGGCTTCCATGCATCCTCCTTTAAAATATTAACACTTCCACCTGTTCCCTGCTGACATCGAGGCGTATAGGTCCTTTCACCTCTGTCAGCACATTCGTCCTCTGGACGCAGGCGACAAATCATCGCCCCAGGTGACAGGTGAGGCAGTGAGGCCCAGGAGGCAGCCTATCAGGCTCTGATCCTGTGACTACTAGCACTGGCCTAGGCAATAACCTCACCTCTCTGCCCCTCAGTCTCCTCATCTCTAAGACACTTGGAACAGTGCATAAGTGCCCTGTCCATCACTACCCCTCAAAGGTAAGCACTACCCTTTCTTTTTTTTTTCCTGGGAAAGATTCGCATCTTCCTCTATTTTGTATGTGGGTCACCACCACAGCATGGCTGCTGACAAGGGGTGTGGGTCTGCGCCCGGGAACTGAACCCAGGCCATGGAAGTGGAGCACACCGAACTTAACCACTAGGCCATGGGCTGGCTCCCAGATAATCACTATTCTGAATTTTACAAAGCCACTTATTTTCTTTAGGGTTTCACCACCAAAGAACGCATCCCAAACACAGTACTTTGGTCCTACCACTGTTCTGAACTTTACGTAAATGGAATCACACAATACACAAATATTTTTGTATCCAGCTGCTTTTTTTCTTTTTTTTTTTTTTTGTGAGGAAGGTCAGCCTTGAGCTAACATCCGTTGCCAATCCTCCTTTTTGCTGACTGGCCCTGGGCTAACATCCGTGCCCATTTTCCTCTACTTTATATGGGACGCCGCCACAGCATGGTTTGATAAGCGGTGCACAGGTCCACGTGTGGGATCCGAACCTGCGACCCCTGGGCTAACGCAGCGGAGCACGCCAACTTAACCACTACGCCACCAGGCCGGCCCAGAAGCCCTTAATTTTAATAGTCAAATCTATGGATCTTCTTCTGTAAGGAGTCCTTTTAAAAACTCTTCCTTTACCCTGATATCCCAGCTCTAGTCTCCCATACTATCTTCCTGAAGCTTTACTATTTTGCTTTTCCCATTTACATTTATAGAGCCATTTGGGATGGACTTTTGTGTATGCATGACATGAAGCAGGAACTGGGTTTCATTTTTTTCCCGTGCATGTCCAAGTGTCCCAGCACTGCTTATCAAAGACTCTCTCCCCTCCTACTCGGCAGTGTTCCGTGGCTATGAATCCACCATCTACACGGGCCTTAGGCCTGTCTGGGGGCCTCTATGGATGTTTGTCTATCCTTGTGTCAAAACTACACTGTCTTAGTTATCGTGCTTTATAATTAAAGCTTCATATCTGGTGGAACAAGTTATATTTTCATATTATTATAAATAATTTATTTTTAAAATATTTTCTATTTGCTTTTTATATAGAACAGAACACATAAATATTTTTAACACAAAAAGCAATTGATTTTTTTTTTTTTGCTTGATGAAGATTAGCCCTGAGCTAACACCTGTTGCCAATCTTCCTGTATTTGGTTTGTGGGTCGCTGGCACAACATGGCTGACAAGTGGTGTAGGCCCCCCCTGGGCACTGAACCCAGGCCACTAAAGCAGAGCGTGCCAAACTTAACCACTAGGCCATGGGGCTGGCTCCCAGAAAGCAACTGATTTTTGTATAGTGATCTTATATCTGGCATTCATGCCAATTTATTAACTCTAATAATTTATCTGTAGGTTATTTTGGAAATTATACATACACAATTAGGTCATCTGTGGATGAAAGTTTTGTTCTTCCTTTCTAATTCTTTTTTTTATTGAGGTAACATTGATTTATAACATTATATAAATTTCAGGTGTACATCACTATATTTTGGTTTCTGTGTAGTCTAATTCTTTTATTTGTACAATGTGGGTTGTGGTAACAAGCTTCCTGATTTGAGAGAAATCTTTCAAGATTTCACTAAAAAAAATGATGTTTGTTCTAAGTTTTTTATAGATAGACTTTATCAGGTTAAGGAAGGTTCCTTCTATTCCTAGTCTGCTAAGTTTTTATCATGAATGGATGTTGAATTTTATCACATTTTCTTCATTTATGGGAATGACCACGACTTTTCTTCTTTTTAATGTGGTGAATCACACAGGTGATTTTAGACGTTACACAAGCTTTATATTTCTGGAAGAAACCCTACTTGCTCACGATGTATTATCCTTTTTGTATCCTGCTAGATCCAGTTTGCAAATATTTTGTCTGGGAGTTCTGCAACCACCTTCAAGGTCTGGAATGGTCAGGGGCTGGTCTCCTTCCCTTTCTCCCTCCCTCTCAGAGCACAGCTCTCTGAGGTCTTGGCCCAAGTTGCTGGGATTTTCCTGACTCTTGTGCCCCCAGCCCAGAGAGGCTGTCAGAAGTCTTGATCAGCCTCTCAGTCGGCTCTGCTGGAAGCAGCAGACACTCCTGGGGGATGGGAGTAGGGCCACATCTCTTCACTTCTGTTCTTCTCCTGGATCCTGACCTGGTAAACCTCTACTGCTTTGCTAGCTCTCTGATACCTTCAAGTAGTTGTTTTTTGGTTTTACTTTTTAATATTTTATTTGCCTCTCCTAGCTGTCCTCAGCAGGAGGAGGTTGGTCCGTTATCTAGTGGCCCATTCCAGGAAGCCTATGGAAGTTTCTTACTCACGGATGATGACAATAGGATGGCAGTCCCTGCCCAGGAGGCCCGCCAGGCAGCCCCTGTCCTAGACCCTCTGCACCTGGTACGCCTGGGACCCAGCCACGTGCAGCAGAAAGGCCCAGACTGTGAAATCAGAAGGTCCTAAAATCAAATCCATGCTGAGCTACTAGATGTAAAGCTAGATGTCACTTTTTTTGAGTCTCAGTTTCCTAATACGGGAAAAGAAATGGAGAGAAATCTTCCATCAGAAAAGTTTAGGAAGCTTGGACAAGCCCACACAGGGAGAGTATTCACAGCCCCCCTGGAGCTAACCCCAGGCTTTGCACACAGTAGGCGTTTATCAAGTGAGTGAACAACTACCAGACAAGGTAGGAAGTCAAGACTGCAAGCAAGGGAGCCTTTGGGAAGGAGGGCAGAGGTAGGAGGTGGGAAGAGTATCCCAGCCAGAGAGAAAAGCATGAACCACAGCCCAGAAAAGGGGACTTGAGGGACTTGCAAAGGAGCAGCAGGTGGCTCGGGTTTGGCTGGAGCACAACATGTGACGGAAAGTTGAGAGACATCAGGCTCAGCTCTCCAGGCCAGACTGCTGCAGCCCTGGACACCGGGCTCTGCCCTTCACAGGCACGGAGCTGTCGAAGGCCTCAGGCTGGGGCCTCACTACTGATTCAGGGTGAACTTCCAAAAGCTCACGTGCACAGCATGTGGATGAACTGGGGTGGGGTAGGGCGGGGAGGAGGAAGTGGCGGAACAGCCAGGTGGCGAGAGAGCGCAGTACACGGCTGGTGCAAGGGCCCAGGGGATGGGCAGTGAACATCTGAGTGCGGACAGTGGTGGGCAGGATGAGGCCGAGACTGTCCTGGGGGCACCTCCCCGTCCCTGCAGGGCCCCTGCGGACTCACAGCCATAGGGGTTGGTGCTTTTAAAGGTGACGTCGATGGGGAAGTTCCACACCAGTGCTTGCCGCACATCTTGGCTCTTGGATGTGATCTGTGAGATGCCCTCTTCCAGACCCTGTGAGACAACGACAGTGACAGCTGGTGTCCAAGTTCCAGGCTGCCACGCCCCTCCCCTTAACCTGGGCGAGAGTCGGGAGGGGTATCTTCTTCACTTTCTTCTGCCAACACACTAACTTCCAAACACAGGGAACTAAGAGATAATGGAGCAGCTCCTAGGTCTTTCAACGTTGTGGTCCATTAGAGCCTGACAACCTGAGGAGCCACCCTCCACTCGTGCACGAGACCTCGTCCCCTCCCGCCTGAGCCAAGGAAACGGCTCCAGCACGTGGCTACTCTCTCCTCCATCACCAGCTTTCCCAGAGCACTCCCATAGGAGTGCGTGTGTATGTAATCTTCTCTGTCACAGGGCAAGACTCATAACTCTCCTTCCTCCCCGCATAGACTCAGTCTTGGCTCCCGTTTACAGCAAACCTCCTCAGAAGAGCTGTCAATACTCGCTGGCTCCAATTCCTTCTCTGCTTTTCTTCCATGAACCCACTCCATCTGACTGCAGGCCCCCACTCTACTGAAGTGTTTTTGTCAAGCAACACCAGTGACCTCAGCATCGCTACCTTTAGGTCACTTCTGTCCTCATCTGATGTGGCCCACCAGCAGCATCCGCTCACTTCCTGACACACTTCCTCCGCTCGGGTTCCGGGACACCTCCCGTCTTCGGATCCCCGCTCCATCACTCCTGCCGCTTCCTCCTTGGTCTGCTGCACCCGAGCTCAGCCTCCGGGCCCTCCTCCGCCTGCACGTGGGATCTCAGCGTCGCAGGGCTCTCAGTGTGGGCTATGTGGATGGTTCCCAAGCGTGTGTCTTTGGCCTGACTCCAGGTCAGCACTGCCCTACCTCCACTGCTCACCCTGCACCTCCACTTGGGTCTCTGGAGGGAACCTCCAACTTAACACACGCCGGGCTCAGCTCTGCAGAGTTCTCCCACATCTGCTCCATCTACAGTCTTCTCATTGAACGGCAACTCGGCTTCCCAGTGCTCAGGCTAAAACGCTTGGCATCATTCTTACCTCCTCTCTCTCACACCCCACATCTGTCCAACAGGGAAACCTGTTGGTTCCATCTTCAAGAGAGACCTGAAATTCACCCCCTCTCACCTCCCCCACTGCTGCCTGCCCGTGCTGCCATTGTCTCTCGCCTCTCTACTGTAACCGTCGATGGTCTCCCTGCCTTGGCCGTTATTCCCCACAGTCTACTCTGTATCCCCAGCACCCAGACGAGGAAACAGGCTCAGAAAGGTGAAGGAAGCTCAGCCTCCATTTCCTCAACTGCTGTGAGGATTAAACAAGTGCTCTGCAAACAGTAAAGGGTGGTGCAGGCCAAGGCTGTCATCAGAGTTCCTCTCCTGGGAGGACAGACTGTTCCTTGGGAAGTCTTGGAAGGAGAGCTCCAGAGTCCTCCCCATGGGCTGAGGAGAGGCCAAACAACGAAGGGACCAGCCCAGAGTGTCTCCAGCTCAGCCACGTCCAGACTGGCTCTCTGGGGCCTGCCCGCCTGTGCTGCCCACACGCTCCTCTCTGCTGCCGTGTGCAAGCTCCCAGGATAGGGTATGTGAGTGAGCACGGCCTTGGGGGACGGGTCAGGGAGCCCAACAGCGGCTGCGTTCTCCGCTCCAGCTCCACTAGCAATAAACTCACGTTCGCATCCCTCCAAACTGCCTACTCGCAATTGGTTCCGCACCGGGAGGGAAGGGGTGTGATGGACACCTTCAGAAACCCCAACAGTCATGACGGCTGTGAGTAAGGAAGGCCCAAGAGGCCAGCTTACCGCCGTGGGGGCCCAGTCCTGGCCGTACACAAAACAGTACTTGCAGTAGAGATCATCGTACTCAGGAAACTGGAAAACAAGCACACATGGGTTCTGTTTACGGGGACTCATGCTGAGGCCAGCACGGCGGCTAGGGAGGTGGAGGCGATAGGAATTCTGAACAGGGGCCCCTGGGGTGCGGTCTAGGAGACAGCTGGGGATGTGGACATGGAGGGGCTGGGTCCAAGATGTGGGAGTCCGAGGGGAAGGCCGGGGCTGTTACTGCCCCTGGGCCTTTGCTCAGGCTCTGCCTTCTGTCTGACATGCCCTTCCCATGCCTCCATCTGGTAAACTCTTGCTCATCCTTCAAAACTTACCCTTCAAGGAGCCTATCCTAACTTCCAGGCTGTCTTAAGGGCCACCTCCAGGCTTCTTCAGCCCCTGGTGCTTCCCTCCATCAAAGTATTGATTGCCTGTGTTTATTTGTGTCCACCCCATTAGACTGTGAACAAGGAACAGGTATGATACCTTTCAGTGTCCCCAGTGCCTGGCACAGGGGTGGGCACAGAGCAGGTCTAAGGGAATGGCACTGAGTGAAAAGTCTGAGAACCAGGGTGCCAACAGGACCCAGAGCATACACACGGCTGGAGCTGAAAACCTAGAGAGGGAGGGGCCTAGAGCGGGGGTGGGGGGGTGGGTGCTGAGAGCTGAGACCATGACTCAGCACAGCTGAGGGTCCCTAACAGGACGAGAGGAAGAGGGGGAGGCGGTCTCTGTCTCCCGCACTAGGCCAAAGCAGAGATGGATGGAGTGGGAGCATGGGGCAGCATCCTTGACAGAACCGGAAGGCAGGAGACACCAGGCCCCAGCAGAACGTTACCTAAACCATCTCGGTTAATTCTCACAATAATATAATAAAATAATAATAATAATAAAACACCATCTCCAACAGCCTGGAAGGGCAGTCTGGCAAAGCTTGGACGTCAGACAGACTAGGTTTCAAATCCCAGCTTTTTCCCATTTGTAAATTGGGGATGCCAGTAATACCTACTTCACAGGGTTGTTGTGAGGACTGAATGAGCACTGCTGAGCACGGAGTTTGGCATATATTTTATATGCCATATATTTTATACGTTTTACATAGAGAATGGTTTTTATAAAGTGTACAAGGATGGAAAGTAGCGTCCCCTTCCGTCTGACAGACACACCCTCCCTGGATCATTCCAGGCCACCACCATCGTTGGATCGGATTAACCGAATCATTCTAACCCAAGTTCAAGGGTCTGAGGGTTCAGAGTGCCGAGCACTCCCTGCGCCCGGGACTCAAACACTGAGGACCAGGCCCTCAGTGCCCGCCAAGCCTCGGCTCCTCCAGCTGCACCCGCGTTAGGCTCCTGGCCGTGACTCAACAAAGTGGACACGATTCGAGCCAGGGGCCACAGCCTTAACTGAGCGTGACCCCGGTACTAGCTCAGCCTCTCGAGGTCTGTTCCATAGCCGCACATCGGGAATAAGGATTCCCAGCCCACCCGCGCCAAGCCCCTCAAATGCTGGTCCCCTCCCCCGCCTAACCGAGGGAGAGAGGCTCGGAGGAATCACGCGTCTCTGCGGGACCCCCACAGCAGCCCGGGAGGTGCGGGACGGGCCCCCGAGGAGGCTGGGGGGCGGGCCCCGGCGGGGTCCAGGCGCTCACCTGGGCGCTCTCCACCTGCCCGTTGACCATGAGCAGGAAGACGCTGGGACCCGCGGCCGCCATGGCAAGCTGGGGGCGCCGGGAGGAGACCCAGGCAGCGCGCGCGGTTGCTAAGAGGCGCCGGGCTGCCCTGGAAACAGACGGCGTGGCGCGCGGGACACGTTTCTTAGAAGCTGGACCTTTGCGAAGGCGCGTGCGTGCGGGTAGAGGTGCGCAGGCGCAGTCAGCGGCAGCCTTGGAGAGGGGCGGGGCTTGTGAGGGGCGGGGCTCCGCGGCCCCACCCTTCTCCGGGGCGCTGGGACCGGTCCACGCGAGGCCCGGGCCTGGAGTGTGGACCCGTTGTGTAGAACCCAGCCCCCCGTCCTGTCCGGTTAGGTCCGCAAGAGTGTGTGAGGTCCCGCACCCGGCCCTGCTCCGCCCGGAAGCGCGGAGGCGCGCCCCTGACTCAGGCCCGCTGGAGGCCAAGTGGTGCAGACAGCCGTCAGCCACGAGGTGTCGCTGTGGCGCCACCGGGAGGGCGCGGGGGGGCGGCGGGGAGGAGCCTGCGGGGCGGGCGGGCGGTCCCCGCGTGTCAGGGTTACAGCGTGAGGGCCGGGAGCGCAGATGAGGGTCTGGCCGCCGGGGTTCTGGGGAGTCTGGGGACGAGCAGTTCCCTGCCTCAGGTTAAGGGGATGCTCCCTTGTGGCTTTTGAGACCCTCGACCCCGAAAAAGTTTAATAAACAAACTTGTGAGGGACTACAAGAACCCTTAAATTCAAGCCACCGCTCCTCAATGTGAAGCGGGGAAACCGAGGCCCGCGGAGGGGCCTCCCAGTCACCCAGCCGTCGGGGGAAGAGTGAGCCGGAGCCCACGGCTCTGTCAGGACACTTCAGATGACAGTGACTCCTTGGCTGCCCCAGTAGGTCACAGCTTCTGTTAACACATCGCTCTGGTTCCTCTTAGCACGCGCCGCAGTTCGTATTTACACGTTTTTTATTGCCGTATCTGGGCTCCTGCTCGCCTCCCCCACTAGACTCCATGAGCACAGTGGCCAGGTTGATCTTGTGCCTGGTTGCCGGGTGCATGGTAAGCACTGGTAACGGCTTGTTGAATGAATGAATGATTGAATACATTTCCGTTACACAAAGGAGGAAGCAGATTCAGAGAGGGGAGGTGACTGGGACACAGTCATAGCAGCAGGTGAGTAACTGAGCCAGGATTCAGACCCAGGACTCCACAGGCTAAGGACCCTCACTGCCTCCTCTTCTTGGTCTTGGGCAAGATCAAAGGGCACTTCTTAGCCAAGGCGTAGAAGGTGGCCTTAGAGACCTTATCTCTGATCCAGGGAATGAAGGGATACACAGGCATGTAGACTTCAGGGAGGCGGGTCCCCACACAGCGACTCCAGGTCATCATGCCCTGCAGCAGCCAGAGGCTACTTTGGGGGCAGACCAGGGGGGTCCCATCAGACACCTGTGCAGGAGAGAGAAGGAAGGGTAACAGCCAGCCTGGACCCACTAAACACCGCCCCCCCAGGTGAGCAAAGATACCTGATGACGGGAGGGGACTGGGCAGCCAGGGTTCATGCCTCTGACAGGAGAGGCTGAGGCTGGGCAGGCTGGATGGGTGGGAGCCCAAATGCAGCACACGGAGCTCAGGCAGGGGTTGTCTGCCTCCCCAGGGACGTGGTCATACCCCCTTCTGCACCCCTCACACCCTCTCTTTCCAATTAAAATGCTTTCTCCTACAAATTCTACCACTCTCTCCCAACTCTTTCCTCCTTGTGCCTTTGAGGCTCAGAATTACACAAAAGTCAGTTTTCAACAAAAAGGCTTGCGATTGTCAAATAACCAGGGGGCTCTCGGTAGTTTAAAACCTGGCTATGTCAAAGACTGCCCCACATTCGAACAGGACCTAAAGGGAGAGTTTCCCCAAGGGACTGGAAACTCTGGGGTGGCCAGCAGGGGTGCGGCTGAGGCAGTTCTCTGTGTGATGTGGAATGGGAGACCCCAGGAGGATGGGAGGGTGACCAGGCCTGGCTCTACCAGGTTTAGTGGCATGAGGAGGCACTGTGGGGGAGCGTGCGTCTCGAAGCCTGCTCAGGGCGGGGCTGGAATCCTCACCACCAGTTCAGGATGGCTGTAGGGGAGCCTGGTGCACTGTGAGCCCTTGGGCAGGCTGAGCTTCAGGTCAAGACAGTCAGGTTGGAGGCGAAAGGCATCTTTGCAGGACCCGATGTCCAGCGGTTTCAGCGGGACACTGTGCAGCTCTCGCGGTGGGATGTAGGGATCTGCACGTGCGGAGGGGAGGAGGGGGGCGCACCCTCAGCCAGGACCAACATCCTGCGGGTTTGCACCCGTCCTGTGCTGCTGGTTGCTAACATACTGCAAGGCTTCCTTACCTGCCCTAAGTCTCCCCACCGCCCGCCCCTCCGAGAATACCCTCCTGGGCCTCCAGTCCTCCCTGACACTCCTCATCCCCACCTCCCTCTTAGTACAGCTCCATCCTCTGGTGGACTCGCCCAGTCCTCTCAGGGAGACTTCAAGCCTGCTGAGATCTGGGATACACTGTGGGCCAGGGAGGGGGCGGGGAGAGTGCCCAGTGCCAGCCGTCCGGGCCAGGTGGGGCTGGAAGCTGACTTAGGCATAGCAAGATGTCAGTGCCCACCCTCTCCCCTGCCCATGGTGCCCACTGGGCAGCTGACCAGAGCTCAGTTGTTCTCTGGGGCTCAGGGACCCCGAAGATGACTGCATCTGCAGGGTCCCAGCTCCACCCTGGCTGTCATGTTCACCTTACCCAGTCCAGCATCCCCCGCCGCCCTCAACCATCCCAGGCATCTACTCCCATCCTCACCAAAATCAGGCTCAAACCCCTGGGCCCAGCAGAGCTGCCACCAGGGGGAAGGCTGGGAGCAGGTGGCCAGAGAGATAGGCTGCACAGCACTGCTGAGCGATGGTGGGCTTTTCAGCCGGGCCAGGGCCATGCCACCAGACCCAGAGCCCTCGGGCCCTCCTGGGGACAGGAGCAGCTCCTCCACGCTGGATGTGCTCTCACAAGCCTCCAGTGCCAGTCGATTTGGGCCCAGGGTCACAGTGAAGAGGGACAGGGGCCAGCTGTGGAGAGCAGGAGCTAGTGAGTCTGGGGGCCTCTGTCCCAGAGCACCTCTCCACCACCCTCCCTGGCCCCTGCACCTACCTGCCAAAGCAGTTGGCACCTGTGAGCACCCACTCTGGGGAGATGAGGGCCCCCTCGCAGCGGTACCTGGTGTCCAGGAAGATGCTTGCCTGCCAAGGCCACGTGGCTGGGCCCTTCCTGCTATAGGCCTCGGCTGGCCTGGGCCCTGCGCCGCGGGAGAATGAGGCCTCACAGCCCAGCTCTGGGCCTGGAATCCTGCCCTTCATCTCTTTCCCATCTGTCCCCCCATCTTTCCATCCAGGCCCTACTAACCTGCAGCCCCAGCTCCCACTGCTTGCCCCTCCCGCTTGAAATCAGACCATCTGCGGTGGACTCCTGTGCGGCCTGGAGAGAGCTCCTGAACCTCTCGGGTCCCCTTTTCCTCGTCACACCGAGGAGGTTGTTGTGAGGATTAGATGTGATAATATACATCAAATACTTAGATCACACTGAAGCTCAATACGTTTGCAGCTACTCTTATTATTAAAGGTAGTTCTTGGAATTCTCATGCTTTTTTATGCGTCCAGGTTTGCACACGCTATTCTCTTTACCTAGCATATCATGCCCTACCTTCTCCAACTAGAGAACTCCTATTCAGCCTTCAAAGCCCACCTTTGTGAAGTCTTCTTTGATCTCCTCTTCTCGTCCCCCTATAATCTGCGCCTTGGGAAGATTTCCTCCCCTTCCTGCCCAGAAGCTCATTATAGGTGGGTGTCCAGCTCTGCTTGCTTTTCTGTCAAGACAGGGAGCTCACTCATTACCAAGGCAGCTGGGCCTCCTTTAGCTGCCCTGCCCCGTAAAGCTGGTTCTCCAGTCTGGATCTTCAAAGGTCAGTCCCCATCCACATGGAGCTCCTCCCTGCAGACTGGACAACCCTGCTGCCTGTCACCTGCTCTATCTTGCACCCAGGTTCCTGTTCCTTGAACCCAAGGCTGGGTTACCAGCTTTAAGAGACATGGACTCAGCCCTCAAGGGATGGGCAGCCACCTCTGCAGCAGCTCCCTGCCTTCCCCTCTGCTCCGCAGGCGCCCTACCCCTTACCCACAGCTCCTCACCAAATAGCAGCGGCAGCAGCAGCAGCAGCAGCATTGGTAGAGGGGCCCCGGGTCTCGTCCCCACTGAGTCTGGCCTCCTCCCTGTCAGCCCAGGAAATTTAACCTCTCTAGTGCTCTCCCTACCACCCCCATGAGGCCCACGTCACTAGGCAAAGGGGAACTGGCCTGGGGAAGAGGAAGCTGCTAAGGCAGGCCTGTACCAGGGTGGACGGCAGGGGACAGGCGTCTTGCAGGCCTCGGCCCCTCCTGGCTGAAATCAATAGCCTCCCCCCATCCTCCCCTTCTTCCCCCCCCCAAGGCTTGGTAGACCCCCACTGCAGGCCCCTCAGGCACCCCCACAGGAGCAGTGCTACAGCCTCTCCTGCAGGTGGGGCGTCAAGGCTCAGAGAAGTGAGGAAGGGACTTGCCAAGATCACAGTGCGTTGGAACCAGAATCTTTGTGACTCCAAGTCTCCAGATGGTTCCTCTTGCAGCCCTTCTAGGTCTTTCTTCCTGGCTCAGCCTCTCAGCTCTTCAGTGGAGGGGCCATGCCGAGAATGCCTGTCGATTCTCTGTGAAATGGGGCACAGACAGGCCCACGGTTGAATTCCATAAGTGACACAAAGCCAAGGCCCTTTGGGGCCTGTCAGGTCCCCCTGGCCCCTCTTGCAGCTGGCCCGCCTCCCCCTGCCTCCTGGCCTCACAGTACTGGGTGCACGTACACCACCTTCTGAGAAATTGTGTGGATGTATTTATTATTTTTTTGGTGAGGAAGGGTCCCTCTGAGCTAACATCTGTTGCCAATCTTCCTCTTTCTTTTTTATTTTTTTTTTGCTTGAAGAAGATTCACCCTGAGCTAATATCTGTGCCAGTCTTCCTCTATTTTGTATGTAGGTCGGTGCCACAGCATGGCTGATGAGTGGTGTAGGTCTGCGCCCAGGATCCAGACCTGTGAACCTGGGCCGCTGAAGCGGAGTGCGCCGGCCTTAACCGCTACGCCTTCGGGGCCGGCCCTGTATTCATTTTTTATTGAGGTGGAATTCACATGACTGAAAACCAGCCCTTTCCACGTGTACGCTGCGGTGGCGTTCAGTACACCACGCTGTGTTTGCACAGGCTGTTCCTTCACACCGGGAATATCCCTTCCATCTTTTCTGCCTGAAAGCTTCCTCTTGAACTTCAAGATCCAGATAAACGTCCCCTCCTCCAGGCTGCGTTTTTTCTGACCCCCATGTTGGTCTAGGGGCTTCCTCTGGGCCCCTCAGCACGTCAGTCATGGCCCTACCGTGAAGAGGCTGTGGTCTGACTCCGTCTCCAGACCACGTCAGAGCCCCCTGAGTGCTACGGAGGGCGGGCGCAGTGGAGCCACTCTCTAAATGCTCGTCAGATGACTGCGTGAGTGAGTGAACAAGCGACGGGAGGCCTTTGGGGGACACTTTGAGGGGCTCTGGAGCCTGTGGGCCAGGGCTGAGCCTTGGTTTCCAGCAGAGGGAGGGGCTAGAGTCAGGGAAGCGAGAAGACTCAGGGCCCCAGCCTCCAGCAGGACAGCAAGATAACCAGGCCTGGGTCTGAGGCACAGCCCAAGGTAGGGTGCAGGGCCCTCGTTTCTGTCTCTGGCCCATCTCCAACTTACAGTGTCACCCTGGGCACGTCATTGCCCTATTCTGGGCCTCAGCATCTACATTAGGAAGAAGAGGGCGTTGCCTGCACTCTCTCATTCTCCTGTGAAGTCATTTGAAGGGCGGGGGAAATCCTCGGCCTCTCCAAACCCGCCTCAAGGGCGGGGCACGCCCTCTTCACCCCCAAAGTGCAAGGGGAAGTGCAGGGAGCAGCTTCTTCCAGGAGCTGACCAGCAGAGGGAGCTGTAGGGAAGTGGGTCAGCCGCAGACTCTGCTGCTCACTGGCCTGTGACTGACCTGGGCTGAGCGCTTCCCTTGTCTCAGTCTCAGGTTCCAGGAAAATGGGGATCGTAAATCCCCTACCTCCAGGGCTCGGTAGATGGTAGCAACAGTCTCCACAGTGAAGGTGGTGATGCGTTTGGAGTCCAGCTTGTAGACAGACACGTTGAATTGTGGGCCAACTTCGGGAAAACGTTGTAGGTCTTTAAAAGCCGTTCATCTTTAATCCAGTGGATACAACCTCAGCGTCAGCCAAAGCCAGGCAGGTGAGTGAAGCATGCCAGGTCACTCTTTGGGCGTATGGCACAGCGGTTAGGCTGCATGTAACAGAAAACTCCATCAGGCCTTAAATACATAGGGGTCGTTTGTCTCAAACATCCAGACAGTCCAGAACTGGTAGGGCAGCTCGGCTACGCCAACAGGGACCCAGGTTCCTTCTGTCCTCCTGCTCCACGTGCTTAGCGTGTGGCTTTTGTCCTCATGACCACAAGATGGCTGATTCAGCGCCAAGTGTAGCGCCATGTTGTAGGCAGAAGGGGGGAGGAGCCAAGGGGGTTCCCAGCAAGGCTCTGTGTAGGACAGGACAGCCCAGACAACCACCCATCGGATGGGGGCTTGCAGACACAGCCCGTTAGCCAGACCTGAGTCATGGGGCCACTTCTGGCTGCAAGGGAGTTGGGCAACGTAAGCATTTTTCTTTCCAGGCTCCACAGGATAGGACAGCAGGGAAAAGGCAGTTAGAATGAGTGCTGAGTTAGCCAGTTCTTCCCTTCCGTGAAGAACCGTGCTTGCTTCCGTTGCCCTTAACGAGCACGTCTCCACACCCAGCTTTTGTTTTCTTCCTCCGTTGACAGACGTGGCTACCGGAAGTCCTTGTCTGCTTTAAGAAAACACAACGGTTCCGGCATGGAAGTAATCAAGGGGATAATGGGGCGTGGTCAGCCCCAGGCAGCTGTCGAGGATGGGGTGGTACTTAAAATATTGAATAACTCATGTTCACCATGAGTTACCAATGGTGAATGAGTTACCAACGGGCACCAACCAATCTGATCAGATGCCGCATTGATCAAAACGTGTGCCCCACCAACCGGCATGGATGCCTGCTGGTGGGCCCGGCCGCCACACGCCAGCAGGAGAGCAGCCCTGGTTGTAGGCAGTGTGTCCAGGCGCCTGCGCTTCTGCTCCTTAGAAAACAGCTGGGGATTCTCCACGTTTCCTTGAGATCTCCTGATTTTGCTGTGTTGGGTGAATTCTTAGATGACACTATGTAGGTCAAAGAAAGCCTATTTGTGGCTGTTGGTACGTGATCCCTTATTTTCGGGTCCTGCTGTGGCATAGGCGCGGCCTGTCCAGCTTGTGGGAAGGGGTGGCCCGTGCCGGCCGCTCTCCATGGTCCTGGACAGATGGTTCCCTCGTCTGAGACAGCACTCCTTCCCAGGCTCTCTCAGGAATTACAGTCCAGGAGAGAGCCAGGTGGTGGAGGGAAGGGAGAAGGCAGGCCAGGTGCTAGTGGGAGAGGTTTCCTGAGAAGAGCGAGTGCCGAGAACTAGGAGAATTTAGAGTGACATCATTTTTAATGGACTGAAGTCACCAAGGCTGGGAAAAGACAACAGAAGGATGATTTAAAAAAAAAAAAAGTGTCCCAGATAAGGTAAAGCCATATGAATATCTCCACTCAGTGGTCAAGAAGAATCTCCTAAGTGGAGATTGCATCGACAAAGTGACTTCCTCAGTTTTCTTTTCTACTTGATGAAAATTTGTGATTTTTGAAAAATGCTGTTACAGAATAAACAGAACGGTGAGTTATGTTTTTACATCATATGTAGCTGATTGTAAGTACTTTTGACAGTTCTAGGATGTTTCTTTCTAATAGCCTCAAATTTTTTTCCCCTCTGAGAAGTGGTGGGGTGGATGGAGTTCCTGGTGCTACATTTTAGGGGCTGTAGATTGCAAAGTGCTCTCCCATCTATTCAGCTATGTGGTCCCCACAAGAGCCCAGGAGGGGAAGTTTGCCCCCCTCACAGGGGACAAAGCCACAAGGCTCAGAGATGGAGAGGGCCTCACCAAGGTTGCACAGCAAAGTGGGAGTGGAGCTGGCCTAGAACCTGTGTCTGTGTGTGGCCGGCTGCTGCGGGAGGTGTGGCCCTGGTGCGGGTGGGAGTGGAAGGGAGGAACGCTTGGATGGGGCTCGCGCAGGTGACCTGAATTGCTCCAATCGAGCATAAAAAATGACCATCAGGGTCACGAGAGCCCCTCTTGCTGAGCCTGGAGTCACCACTCTCCCAACAGGTACTGACTGAGCACCCACAGTGTGTCAGGCACCCAGGCTCGGCATAAAGTTGAAGAAAAGACAGACACAGCCTCTGCCCTCGTGGAGTTGACTTTCTGGTGGGGGAGACAAACGAGTGAACAGATGTTCAGAATAATTCGAGACAATGATAAGCGCTATGAAGAAAAAATAAAGCAGGGGCCGGCCCGGTGGCTCAAGTGGTTAAGTGCACGCGCTCTGCTGCGGCGGCCCTGGGTTCGCCGGTTCGGATCCTGGGCGCGCATCGACGCACTGCTTATCGAGCCATGCTGTGGCGGCGTCCCATATAAAGTGGAGGAAGATGGGCACGGATGTTAGCTCAGGGCCAGTCTTCCTCAGCAAAAAAAAAAAAAAAAAAGAGGAGGATTGGCAGATGTTAGCTCAGGGCTGATCCCCTCACACACACACACACAAAAAAAAAAGAAAGGAAAGAAAAAAGAAAGCAGTGTCAATGGCTGAAGAGTGATGGGGTGAGGTTTATGCAGATGGGTGCACAAGGAAGGCCTCTCTGAGGAGGAGACTGAGCAAAGTCCCAAAAGAAGCAAAGTGGTGAGTCATGCACGGATCTGGGGGTGAGCACATCCAGACAAAGAGCACAGTAAGTGCAAAGGCCCTGAGGTAGAGAATGCTTGAGGAACAGAGAAGTGGACTGGAGCTTACTCTCACCGACTCACAAGAGACAACTGTGTGCAACTCTGCCTTCAGTGATGTCACGTCGGCAGCTTGAAATCAGCCGTAAAGGTAGTATTTACACCATGGAAATCGGCAAATGCTAACATCAGGGCTTTCTATTTTTTATATATACATTTTTTTCAGAGAGCCACTTTACCAGCCCACCACTGGGGGTAGGAGATGGGTCTAGAGAAGTCACCAGGCCCCGATAACTGACAGCCTCAGAGTGGCTGGAAGGTTTTGAGCTGAGGGTTTAGGTGAAGTGACTTGGGTTTTAACAGAATCTCTCTGGCCACCATGTGGGGAAGAGACCGTGGGAGCCAGGGGGGAAAGCTGGGAGGCCAGTGGGGAGGTGGGTGTGGCCATCCAGACAGGGCTGCCAGATTTAGCAAATGAAAATACAGGGTGCATGCAATATTTGGGACCTCCATAACTAAAGAATGATTCGCTGTTCATCTGAAATTCAAATTTAACTGGGCATCCTGTATTTTACATGGCAGCTCTACCCATAGGTGCCAGGCGAGAGAAGGTGGGGGTCCACACCTGCCCCCAGAAGGCTCGCCACCCAGGAGTGGCCCGCCCAGTTCCTGGGAGGGAGCCTCCCCCATGGCCACTCCCTCCTCCTGGGGTGTTCCGAGCAGGACCTTACCATTCCCTCCCAGCCGACACCCCAGCCGCCCCTGGACCTGCATACACCCCTCAGCCATTTCCTCTGGCCTTTTCCAGCAGGTCTGAGAGGAAACTGGGTAGGGGGCAGGTCACAGACGGGTGAGAGCGATGCTCCCACGGGAAACCAGACAAGCCGGAGTTGCTGCCACACCCTGGACTCGGCCTCAGGCCTCAGAGAAGCTGGTCCCTTCACCGACTGCCACCTCCTCCATCTCCCTCCCGTTCTTCACCAGCGGGCATTGCAGCCTGGGTAATGGACTTTGTTCCATGGGATGGGGAAGTTACCACAGAGACACGATCTGATCTGTTTTTCGAAAGCTCACTCTGGCTGCTATGCAGGGAAGAGGTTACAGGAGCCAGAGGATGCCAAGAGGACAGCGGGAGGTGACTGCAATGGTGCTGGTGAGACAGGACAGTGGCTGGGACCAGGCAGTCAGCAGTAAAAATGGTGCTTCTCCTACCCTGTCTCCCCTGGTCACTCTGCTCCAGCTATAGCTTCCTCACACATGCCAGGCACACTCATGCCTCAGGGCCTTTGCACCTGCTGTTCGCTCTGCCCTGAATGCTTTTCCCTCTCATCTCCGCAGGGCTCATGCCCTCTCCTCCCTCGAATCCTTGCTCCAGTGTCACCACCTCTGTCTGGCTATCCCTGACCATTCTATTGAACATTATAACCATCTCGCCATCAGCACTTCCCACTTCCGTGGTGCTTATCACCTTCTAAGTCACTGTGTAATTGAGTCGATTTATTTTGTTACTCTCTCCCAGCCATACTCTGAGCTCCTCTAGGGCAGGGATTTGCGTCTGTTTCGCTCACTGCCAAATCTCCAGCACCTGGAACAGTGCCCGGCGCGTAGTAGGCACTCAGCCTCGTTGGGTGAGTGGCTGAAGCTCTGGAGGTGTGGATTGGAGTGGTCCATCAGAGGGGAGGGAGAGCGCGAGGGAGGGGTCACGGGTGACTCCCGGGCTCCTGGCTGGCCTGGGCGCCCGGCCTGGACGGAGGTGCCGTTTGCTGAGACGGGGGCCCGGGGGTGGGGAGTTGATGAGCGCGGTATTGGTCACGGGAATTGGAGGACTTGTGGGTGTCCTTGGGGAGATGACTGAGGGGCACCGGGTGCTGGATCTGGAGCTCAGGGGAGAGGGCTGGGGTGGAGCAGGGTTGAGAGTGGTCAGTGCTGAGCTCAGGGAGGGGCAGAGTGAGGAGAGGACAGGGCCCCGGCCGACATTCTAGAGAAGGGCGGCAGAGTGGAGGAGGGGGACCAGGGGAGGCGTGCGGCTATGGGGCTGACCTCCCTGAGGACATTCACTCGTGTCAGTTTCTCTAGAAGGCCTGGGGTCTTTCCGAGGACAGAGGAGATTCGACCCTCCATCCCACACCCAGGGCTCCAGCACGTTCTGGGACGGGCGGTGTCAGCTTCGGTGTCTACCAGCTCCCAGGGTCTCTCAGGACCACAGGGGACTGCAGCGCCAACAGTGGAACTCTGGGCACCGTGACAGACGTGACCGCTCTCCGCACCCCCGCCCAGTCCATGGTCTGCCTGGCTGTGCCAAGGAGTGCAAGCAGGAGCGAGGAGGGGGTGCTGAGAAACCACAGATGGCCCCAGGCTGGAGGCATCTGGCCATGAGCTCAGCCCACCCACCCAGGCTCTGGAAGCCAGGGACAGCGAGTCCCCTGCAGGCTTCCTGCTCTCCCCCCACCAAACCGCACTCCTCACTGTCAGCCCTGGCCTTCCCGCAGGGGCGCTGCCATGCAAATGCCGTGGCTTGCCCCCCCCAAGCCCAACACCACCACCACCACCACCACCCCCCGCCTGTCCTGTGCCCTGGGGGCAGATGTGCCTGCATCAAGCCGCACTGCCTGGTTGCTGGGCCCCAGGCAGCAGCCCCCTTTGCCCCCTCCCGGTTCCCCGCGTCTGGGCACCCGGCAGGCCTGTGCCTCTCTGGGTGAGGCATCGCCCGCCCTGGTGTCCGCGTGTCGGCCACTGTCAGGCAGATATTGGTCTTCTATTTCCCTCGTGCTCTGGGGGGACGGAGGCAGCTTGTCCTGGCTGCTCTGTGTGCTGGTGTAGAAACAGGCCAAGGAGGAGCACTGGAGGCAGGAAGGTGTGTGTGTGTGTGTGTGTGTTTGCATGTGTGTGCAAGTCCCCATGTGTGTTCCCGGAGTGTGTGTCCCAATAGTTCGTGTCCCTGTGTGTGTGTTGTTCCCGTGTCCTTGCAGATGCCCCTGTGTGTGCGCCTATGCAAACCTCTGCGCATGCTTGTGCAAATCTCAGTGTGTGTGAACGTAAATGTGTACGTAGGAGTGTTGTCTGTGTGTGCGGAGCAGTGTCCCTATATCTTGTGTCCCTGAGTGGGTGTGAGCACGTCCTGTTTCTGAGTGTGCACACGTGAACACTGGGGTGACCACCGGCGTGCACGTGTGTCGTGGTGTGACATGTGGCCTGTTGGGCCTGGCAGTGCTGGGTGGAGACTGAGGCGGGGCAGGAGCTACGGGCCAGCACCTCCCACCTCCCCCCACTGGACCCTCCTGTTTGTCATCTGGAGACACTGGGCTCTGGGCCCAGCGAAGCCTCGGTGCCCGCCACCTTTTGGAAAGAGCACGAGAGCCCCCGGGGCTGGGACAGATGAGGAGGATGGTTGCACTGGGGAGACCGTGGGCCCTGAGTGGAGAATCCAGCCCCCGCCCAGGCTGCCAGCCTTCAGGGCCCCCTAGAAGAGGCTATCTTGGGCGCCTCCCACCTG